CATAGAAAATTTCCAAGAAAAATGCATAATTTTCCACTCTATGCATTGGGTGTGGCATAGATAATAAAAATAGAAATAACAATGGCAGGAACAAGTTTTGTGGCCGATTTTGTTTGTTTAATGAGTGCGCCTGGTGGGTGGGTAGTACCCAAGCTGAACTCTGAAGGAAAACGCGAAACTTGGGCACTCTTGCCCATTTAAGGCAAAACATTCCATTTAATAAACCACTGACTTCACCGAGTAATTAGTACCACACAAATTGCAACTAATATGCATGTGCAAAAAAAGAAAACAAGGAGATTGCGAAAAGGACTTTTCAAAACTTTGTTGGTGTCATCGTTAGTCTTCTTTGTTGTTGCTTTATTATTGGCACTGCCAATTAAGTGAAATTTATGTGCTTCAATAAATTATGAGTGCCGCAGCTGACATATGCGACACAGTGGGAAAAAAGCAGGGGGCGTGGCCAACGCCCCTCGCCCCTTGGCCCAAAGAGCACAAGCCAAAAACATTGACGCAAAACTTTCGGCCCGAAAGGACAACAGCGGAAATGTGGTTCTGTTGGCGAGCGCGACACATGTCGCTAAGGTAAAATAGTTATTAGTAAATATATTCAGCACTTTATTTGCATACCCCGCACCCTCACCCCGCGGATGCACACATTCCGGGCTATATTACACATACGCCGGGTTGTCCGCCAAACAAGCTCGTCTGAGGGCAACTAATGAAACAATTGACGTGCTGGGAGTCGGCGCCCTCCGAAGCAAAGGCAACTGCCAAAGCCGGCTGATACCCGAACCGAACAGTAGTTGACTGCAATAATTATTCAAGCGCCAAGAACAACGACAGGTGCAGGAGCAACATCGGCAGGAGCAACATCCGCAGGAGCAACATCCACAGGAGCAACAGCAGTTGCTGCATAGATGGCTATTATGCGCCCAACTTAACCTGTTTTAGTAATTAATTTGGGTATTGTATGTTTTAATTAGTTTAGAAGGCAACGGCAACCAGGAGACTGATGACAGTAAATTGAGGGAATATTTTGGTGATTGGTTATTGACCTTATTTGTCAGGTGAAAGGGGTTTCAGGCTGCAGAACCGATCACACACACCGCCACGGCATAGTAATCAACTCGCTTAAAAACTTTTAAAACTAAAATTCTTCATCAATAAATACCTATACTTTGTATAAAACTTCTTCCTTTTTTTGAATCATTGAAGTTTAAATGCTTAATGGATTATGCCTTAAAGGATTAGTAAAAATAAATTTCTAAATATTGAATTCGAATGTTTTTACTAATTATTTTAACTAGATACAAAACATATTGAATTTCATGATAAGATAGCTTGTAAATCAAATTTATGTTACCCATTTTTAATTGATTTATTTATTGAAGTCTAAATGTTCTGTTTTAACATTAGTGTGTAAAATATATTTTAGGTAAGACTAGGATAGCAAGCACTGAAGTAACCTATTTAATTTTATTTAATATTATTTTATACTCAATATAAACCGTATGCAAGTGTTTATCAATTTATATACTATTTTCGTAACTAGCTCGCGAGATTTCTTTCTAACGACTTGCCACCCACCCCTTCGGGCCATCGATTACACACCCGCCACATTACCCGCCGTATTCCGGCTAATTACCGACTCCTGCCGGACTACTCGCGACCTGACTTCTGCCTTCGGGGGCGGCCAAAACATATTTCAAAGTCCGGCTAAATACATTTTTAATTATGATTTTGCGTTCATAATTGTGACCTAAGCTAACGGCGGCTACAAAACGAGTTGCAAGTGGATGTCGTGCCGAGGTGGCCGCTGCAGCTCGTAGCTCATGGCTCATGGCTCATAGCCGTAATGGCCTACGATACCCAGCGGAGTCGTCGAATGGCTTAAATTAATAATTACGCGAAAGGCAAAAGGCGCAGGCCACGAGTCAGTGGCGACTTGCAGGCGTCCTCGCTGTTTGCATGCAAGTGAAAATAATTAATGCACTTAATGTGTAATTATTTCAATTAAACGATACCCTCCTCGTTCCGAGCACACCACACTCACTCATCATCGACCCGATCCTGTTTCCCACAAATCGGGCGGGACTAGGGTCGGCCTAATTGGCATTTCGCTGCTCGATCATCTCAGATAGCCGCCAAATGGGCAGAAGAAGTATTAATCTGCGGATCGGATCAGAAACCCGTTTCTGACGCGACTTAACTTAATTATGCTAATGTCGTGCGAGCGGCCATGCCGTAAATATCCGCGAATTTATATCGACGGCCAATTGGCTTATGTTCCAATATAGCCAAGCACTTAGCCCAGTCGCTAATTGTCGCCGGGTGTTAACAAACTGATTACCAGCGTTTCCCAATCATAAGTTGCTGTATACTTTGTATGACTTATGCTCTCCACCTGCGGAATTGACAGCATAATTTAGCGCATGTCGTGTTATTTTAGTGGCTAATGCTGCGTTTATTTCCCCTTCCTTTGACTTTCTTAATTCGGTTTAAATATTTTTTTCGTTGCCGGCCTGCAATTATACTGCGATTAGAAAGTTTTCGTATTGATATACGAATGCCGTCTAATATTTCTGCATGTGCAAATTCGGTCGGGGTTAGCAGGCGGGCTAATGGCACATTTATTTATTATGGCCATTTGTGCGAATTACGCTCGCGTGCTCCGTAGCGCCAACTTCCTCTCAGGCTTCCTCTCGTTCTCTTTCTCGGGCACTTGGGTCTGCCAGGCGAACAGAAATGAAGGTTTTATTTAGCCAAATAGCTCCTACATAGCTCCCAAATCTCTCAGCTTTCTCCGCCAGAACTGGGAACCCCACGCACTCTCCAGCCAAGAAAACTCCAACCGAGAGCAGCTGCCTTTTGGACATCCCAGAGAAAATACTTTTGGGTGCTGGCGAGAACGATAAAATAGAGAGTAATATAGGCCAGGAATTTAAAGTGCGGAATAGAGAACTAGTCATCACTAGGAAACAAACCATAAACATCCAGAAAATATATCTTTTCAATGGGGTTATAGACCTAAGCGGCGATAAAAGTATAATTTATGTTTTTACTAAACTCCACGGGTAGACTTAAAATAATTTCTGTTAGTGCATTTAAGCACTGTAAACTTTATTTTTTACAAGCACATGCTAAGTACTTTAAATTAAATATAAATATTTTTTTCTTCTTTGTAAAATTACAGGAAATCATATTTTCTCAAATGCAGAAAGCTGAAAAATTATCTCAAATCATAATAATATAATTAGTTGCAGCAGCTCACATACAGACAATCTCTGGGCAAATAATATTTTCCCAACGCCCTTTAGAGTACACAATTTGATTATGCCATGTCCAGCAGCTATTTTAGATTTGATTTTTCTGCACGTTTTTCAGTTTTCCCAGCTTGATGTTTTTGTTCGCAACCAAACCCTTTTCTCTCGTCGAGTATTTTTCATATTTTAATTTAAATTAGAGGGCAACACCCACTAAGCCACTCAGTGGATGACGACGACCATGATGACGATGATGGTGGCAGCTGCAGACAGTGGAAAGCTGTTCGTAACTCAGTCAGACACTCGCTCCGAGCTTAACGCGCTGATGTATGCTAATGAGCCGGCATTGTCGCCGGATCCGGCTGCGTCTCCTGCTCCTGGTCCTGCCCCTCGTCCTGCCCCTCGACCTGCTCCTCCTCCCGCTCCTGATCCTTCTCCCGCCCTAACTCGATTGCCGGAGGAGGAGCTGCAGCCGGAGCGCTTCCATAAATATGCATAATGCAATTAACAGCCAAATGTAATTGCAAGCCAGAACAAGGAGCAAAAAAATAAGCAAAGAGACTGGCATTAGCAGCCGACAAACCACCCGCATGGCAGTCACTGTCCCGTCACATCACTTCACTTCACATCACATCACATCACTCGGGATACATGACAGTCGCTCCGCTTCTCTTGCTTTGCATATGCCCGACTTTTCCGACTTTCCCGGACTGGAACTGGCCAACCTGTTCCCTCGCACATTTAATTAGGCTATTAAACAATTGCAGAACGCATGTTGGCCAGGCCGGGGCCTCCAGCCTGTCTCCAACCAGTTTGCAGCGCGGTCTGTCCTCGCAGTTCCGCCTCAAACCGAACCGAATCGAATAGCTTCGAATCTGCCCGCGAATCTGTGCCAAATTTCGCATAGGCACTGCCAACGACTTAAGGCCGAAACGACTTAAGGCCGACAAAACTGAATAACCGTTGCGTGCCTAGGCCCAGTCAGCGTCTTTAACTTTTGGCTTTTCCTCCGACTTTGCACTTGAAGAAATTTAGATATTTCCAATTGGGAAGATCTTAAATAAATGTGTAGATTCGAGAAGGACGAGTAAGGAAACTACGAGATCATCTTAGATTAGAAATTAAAACCTATATTGATATCTAATTTCGATTTATATTACTTATCATCGTTAAAGGCCTCTTAAAATGACTTGGATAACTTTCGAGATTTAACTTCTTTAACAAAAAATCAAATAATTAAGTTTAATTTTGTCCCCTATTAATTATATTTAAAGAAAAATTCATCAAAATTGTGTTATGAGAGATTAAATTATATTGCTAGTTAGAAATACTAGACTTATTTATCGCGACATCTTCTATTTTGTTCAGGGACTAAATCTTAAAAAGCTTTTTTTACATGAAATGCAATTTGTCAAATTACAAATGCGATTTTCCTCAGTGTGCCCTTGCCTTTTCCCCCATCTATTTGCGGGTTTGGCCAACTCCGCTGGCTTACTTGACTTGGCCTGGCTGATTGGGCGCGCGTTGTTTTGCATTTCCAGGCCAGAAACGGCGGCTGCGTAATAAAATGCATTTTAATTTGGCTAAATGTTCAATTAAATTTAAACATGCGCAGTCCGCTGTTTGCAATTTTGTGTTGCCTGTCGCCGCTGCGTTGAAGTTGAGTTGCAGGAGAAGTGAATGTGTGCGACAGGACCCTCTTCCGATTTTCACCAGTTTCTCCCCAGCAGGCCTCGAGCCATGTTTCGGCTAGCCAAGCATATATTTTAACTTCAGAAAATCGTAACACTTCCGCTCCCAGAAAATAATCAAAATTCAGATTTTAATACTACTAGTTTTGGCAAATGTTTTGGCCCACCCTGTTGAGGGGCTTAAGCTCGCGACAGAGCAGCTCCTCTGGTAAGCCCCCGAATCCACCAAAGCCTCCGACGCCTCCAACAACTCCATCGACTCCGCCGGCTCCTTCCGGGAAAAAGGAATGCAAGATCCGGACGCACTGCATTCCGGCCGCCTTCTGCGCCGAATCGGATAGGTTCAAATCCATGTGGGATCCGCCGAAGAACCTGCCTCCGCCGTATCCCTTTGTGGTCTCGCGATCCAACGATCTGTGCTGCGGGCCCAACTGCACCAAGCCACTGCCCTCGTTCGACGAGATGTACTACCGCCCCTCCTGCAAGGACGGTCCCTACCAGCGCCACTGGGTGGAGTGCCCCAAGTTCATGATCCGCAAGAAAAAGGTCTGTGCCTACGACAAGCTGGAGGCCCTCAACCCCGCCCGTCGGGTGGCCAAGAGGCGCGAGAGGACGGCGACGAGCCCGGACGCCACAGGACCCTGTCCCCATTTTGCTCCTCTGGCGCGTTGCGTTCCGGGCCGTCGTCCGCCCAGGTGCCACGGGGCCAAGACGCCCTCCTGCTGCCGCAAGCTGTGTGCCCCGATGCCCTGCTGGTCGGAGTGCAAGCAGCCCCCGTTGGCCAAGAAACCCCATCGACCTCGGGAGTGCGAGTGCCGATTCCCCCTCAGCCTCTGTGAGGCGGAGCGGGGTCGTCAGTGGGTCAAGATTCACGGCCAGAACCACGTCTGTCCCAGTGCCATCAGGAAGGCCAAGAAGGCTAAGGAAAAGCTCAAGAAACAGAAGAACAAAAAAAAGAAGGGAAGGAAAGACCCGAAGGACAAGAAATAAATTTTAGATTTTATATATGAGTTTATTTTTGTTTCTTGGTGGTTCTGTTATTTCACTCAGTATCGGCCTCCAGAATGGTGGCTTTGTACTTGCTTTTGCCGGACTCCAGATCGTTCAAAGCCTGCTTCAGAGCCATGTGCATCAGTAGACGGGATTCGGGTTCCGTAAGCTGGGCTGAAACCGTATAGCCCGAGTTGTCCAAATGGTCGGTGACCGATAGGTTTTCCTGGCTAAGAGGTAGCTTTTCATTTGACTCTAAGCCCAGATTTTTAGTGGGCTGGTTGACCGGAACTTCGATGGTCCTAAAGGGTCTGTAGGTGGGTACATGTTCCTTGGGCTGCATGTCCTGTTTGTCATCTGTCTTGGGATTGCCCTCAATAGTTTTCGAGGGGCTGGATTCTTGGTTTTCTGCAACGGAAACAACCTGCTCAATTTCCGCAGTTTCATTTGGCAGCTCAGCGGTTACAGGCTCCACCTCATCGATGTCATCAGTCTCATTAGCTATGTAACTCTGTACCTCTTCCAATCCAGATTGATCGGACATCGAACTGTTTAACTCGGTTAACTGATTCGATACCTCCTCTAGATTCAAGTTATCTTCAACATCCAAACCAGATGGTTCAGACACTGCACTGGGTAACTCAGAGCCCTCATTTGTTTCCTCCTCATGATCCAGGTTCTTCTCTATATTTTGGTTGAATGCCCAAGAAGCCATTTCGGGTCCCGAGTAAATTTTACCCACGGTATTATCTGCTTGACCCATAACATTGCTTACCAAAGTGGATTCCTCTGGGTAGAGCGTATTTAAGAGCAGGGAAATCTGACTAAGCTCCTGCATCATGAAGTCCACATTTTTCCGCACGGAAGTAAGAGAGTTTCGTTCAAAGCTGGCAAAGGGTTCTTGAGAATCCAGATCCTTAGTCAGCTTTTCCCGTCGGGAGCGCATTTCTTCAAACTGCAGTTCCTCTTGGATTCCGCAGTGGTCGTCCTCGGTTTCCTCCTCAACCTTCATATACGGATCCTCCACCTCTGTGGGCCCGGGCATTCCCGCCAACTGCTCCACGTCCAGTTCGTTGTTTTTCCAGCCCCAAGTGGCAGTAATATCATCATCGGTTTCCTGTTTATGTTCTTCATAATGGATATTCTTGTCCTTCACATTCGGCAATACAAACAAGTGACTTGTGTGTTCCACTTGCTCTGCCCTCTCGAATTTCTTCAGATTACTTTGGGTTTCGTCCGAGGAATGTGGTGTAGAATTCGTATCTGAATTGTCGGACAGACAACGCAGGATGTATCTAGGATTCTTGGCGGAGCGGAGGATACTACGCCTTAAACCACTGAGTACCGACAGGCGAGACATGTTTGAATTTTGAACGAGTCCTAGTTAGTCCGAGTTAGTGTTCCGAAAGGGGAGTGTTCAAGAAGTGATATATCACCAACGTATCAGATCTGACAACTTTGCTGGCTACATTTCAGATTGCTGAGATTGAGATGTAGAAGGAAAACCCATCATCAACAGAAACCATACTGCTATGGATATGGTTTCTGCTGAAGGGGTTGCCCTTAAAGTCTGCGTGCTCTGTTGGGGTTTCTGATACATAAGCTGTTTCAGAGACCCCAGCAGAGATCACAGTGGAGATAGCACTTGATCCTTATTGTAGTTCCAATCCTCATGAACCGCGGGAACAGCTGGGGTAGATGCTTATGTTGTGCTTGGCCAAGTGGTTGGCCCGTCGAATCTGATCGCAAATGGACGGCTTTGTCAGACATACACACTCGGGCGGACGTGCTGGGATATTGGCCGGGTCCTCCTGGACGCACTCGGAGTAGCTGGGGAACGGGCACTTGATCTTCTCGCAGTCGGCGGGAACGGGGCCACCTCTACAGTCTGGCGGTATTCGGGCGGTTCGACAGCAGGGCATGCGAACCCGCATGCAGCCCTTGGACTTCTTGTTTAGGCACTTGTAGCGCTTCTCCTCGTGCTCCGCGAGGCAGGCGGACCGTGGGCAGGTGGGCAGCTCCCGGCGCAGGACCTGGGGAGGAATGGCGTCGCACCAGCAGCACACTCGCTTGGGGATCATCCTGGGACAGCACTCCCACCAGGTGCGCTGGTAGTCCCGGCACTTGTCCGACGGCTTGTAGTACAGAACGTCGAAGCGCACGTCCTCGCACTTCGGACAGCACTCCTTGGGATAGTGCCACATGGTCTCCGGACGCTCGAGCTCCTTGTCCTTGTAGCTCTCCCACATGGAGGCGAAGGGCTGGCGGGCTTTTTCCCTCGACTTTCTGCAAGGATTCTCCGCAATCCTGGTGTTCACGCAACATGGATAGCGAGGACGCGAACAGTCCTCCTCGCTGCAAGGTCGAACTGGCGGGTCTGTGGGGCTGCAGGGTCGCCTCTTCACCACCCTGCACTGGGTCACCACACTCTCGGGACATGATTTCTGGGGCTGGCACTCCTTCGCCAACAAGGCGCTAAGGTGAACAATCCGACTCGAAGCTTCGAGCGCCAAAATGCCTGGCATCAGCACTATTTTCTTGGCCAATTCTCTGAGCATGGCTGCTGAACTTAAATTTGAGTTCCTTCTCTAAGAGGAAGTGTCTGCCAAAACGTATGCTAGGGTGTGAGGCTGAGAGTTAAGTAGGGGGTTTCTGATATAGGGGCTTATAAATGATTTTTAGTTGGTCCCGGTATCTCAATGAAATCCCAATTAAAACCCTCTATCGATTTCTCAAAAAACCTTGATAAAAAGACAAACGTTTCTGAACACTATACATCTTTAATACGTCGAGTTAGGGACAATCTTGGAGAATCGTTGCCAGTCTCAGCTGCAACTCAGTCACAACAAGTATTATGGCTGAGCTGTGGATGAGATTGGAAGGAAGATCGAAGACCATCCCTTTGTGTTCGGTTAATAGCAGTCCCGATACAGCTTTTGGCGATCGAAGGCAAGTGGATGTTGGGTGAAGGATTTCCTTGGCATACTCGCACTACTCTGGCCATGGAAAATGCTGGCAAACGGAGCCGAGTACCGTCCGGCACCCAGTTGCTTCCAATCCTCCAATCCGTTCGACTTGTTGGGGAAGATGGCTTGGTTTCTCGAGAAGCTCAGACGTCGCGGTTCGGACTTTGGTAGCAGGCGGTCCTTGGCCTTGGCACACAGCTCATCCATGGCCTCCCGCTGGAACCTCTGGCCGAGGCTCGTGATGGTGCCCATCGGCTGCCACTTGGTAGTGGGTTTGGCTTGGGGAGGATCCTGTGAAGGACCTGATCTTAGGTAGGCCATGGTGGCTCCGCTCTTCGGCAGGGGACTCAGCACCTTGTCGACACACTGCGACTGGTTTCGCACCACGGGCTGGGCTCGGGAGTAGCGGACTAGGAGCTTGGTCAGGCGCTCGGCGCACATCGTGGCCAAAACAGAGGTAGCCATGCTAGATCCTCTCCAGTTCTTCGGGCTCCTTCAGCTGCTAAATATCCCTGAGTGCTTTCGGTCTGCGTGTGAGTTCTGTTCGGGAGTGTTTAAATGGAAACGTTCGATTTGGAAGCCTGTTGCTTGATTAAAAATGGGAAACACCGAAAGGAACGATTCATTATATGGATGACTTGCCAGGCAAGGCACCCTGGGGGTCGAAAAAGGGCTCAGAAGAATTTGTTTTTGTTAAAATCTCCAACTTTTTATTTATGTCGCATTAAAAACATATGGTTTCTATTGTTAGACTTTTTGTTGACTTTCACTTGTACATATTTATACCAATAAGAATTGATTTACCAATTTAGAATTTTTTATTATAAATGCTGTTTCTTTTGTACACTTTAATTTACGCCACGTGGACACAAATGTTACTTTTTATTGATTGATAGTTTTCCTTTGGTTTTCTATGTTTTGGACTAAAGGTATTACGTCTTCTGGAGCAAGGCAATGGCAGCAAGTGGTGACCATCTTGCGTCCATTGCTTTGTTCTAGAAGGCAGAATTCCTATATGAGTTCTTCAAATTCTCGGCTAGTACTAGGTCTGTAGCAACTGGGCTTGATGTTTAACCTGTCCATCCTCATTTGCTCCCGAACAGCTACGCATTGGGGGACGGGGTTCAGGCATTGGCACTCGATTTTCCGGCGCGGTCTGGTCCATCTTCGCACTTCCGAAAACGAGGGATACGGAGCGCGCAACTTGGTGCAAATGGAGAGCCTGCTAGGCTTGCGACAGCGAGGATCGCACCTGGCCGGCTTGCAGCAGGGCCAAAAGAGCTTGCGGCACTTGCTCTCAGGATCCCGCTCGTAGTCGCCCTTCTCGCAAAGGCGTCTCAGGCTCCTGTAGGGTATGCCGCAAACCTCCGGACAAGGTTCCTTCACTCGATACTGAACCTCCGGGGGTTTTATGCCGTCCAGGCAGCACACCTTCTTCAGGCGCTGTTTCACCGGAGGACACTCCACCCAGGTGCGCTGGTAGCAGCGGCACTTGTTAGACGGATGGTAGTGGATCGCATCGAAGCGGGGCAGCTTGTCCTTGCAGAAGGGCTGCTCGTCCGCCAGGCACGGGGGCTCCCACATCGAGCGGAAGGGTTCCTTAAATGGCTTTGGCACCTTCGGGCGCGTCAACGCCGCGCAGGGATCTTTGGCCGCCGAGCGCAGGACACAACACCTGCCCTCCACCTCCTCGTACTGATCCAAGAACTTCTCTCGAGGCAATTCGCGAGTCAGCACTTCCTTGGCCCCTACGCATCGGTCGCCCGGAACATGATGGCACATGGGGTCCACCGGTTGGCAGGGCGGGTCCGGAAAGTTGGGCGCTTTGCAGGCAAAGCTCCTGAGACACTGCCTGCGGATGATGCGGAGTGCCGACTGCATCCTCAAAATGTTGCGGGAATTTCGATTTAGCCTCCCAATTTTTTCCGTTCAAGCCCAGTTCATTTCAGTAGTGAAAGGTAGTGAGTAGGAAGGCTGGGGAAACTTGGTCATCTTAAAAAATGAATCTATCTTGGAATCAGGAATAAAGCTGTATTCCCTCAGAATGGGAAGCGCAGCCGGGATCTATAGGGAGAGTAGCCGATGAAGGGCTTGGTGCAGGTCCTGCCCGACTTGTTCCACCGACGGTACGCGTTCCACATGTCGCACGTAGTCGCCCCCAGACATGCGCACTCGGAGCGGCAGAATCGCGGTATAAGGTGGCGACAGGCCTCCGAGAAGCTGGGCATTGGTGAAGCCTTCTTGCAGCAGTCGGTGACCCTGCGTTCTCTGGTGCATTTGGGCGGTCGGCGGCCCGCCTTGCAACCGGGGGGCCTGACCGACTTGCAGAAGATGCTCATCTGGAAGAGGTGCTTGTCGATGGCCGAGAGCGGCGGCTCCTGCGGCGGACGGATACGGCGTTTCATGGGCGGATATATCTCCGGATCGGGACAGCAGGTGTCCTTGGGCCGCAGCCAGAGGAGCGGGCACTCGGGCCAGGTGCGTTGGTATCGGCGGTACTTGTCCGACGGCTTGTAGTGATCGATGTCGTGGCGGGTCAGCTTCAGGAAGCAGTCCGCCGGAGGGTCGGGTTTGCCCCGCTGATAGATCTCCTGCAGGTACTTGGGATACAGATTCTCTCCAAAGGAGGGTCTCTCGTAGCACTTGTTGGCCTCGTACTCGATCGGGCAGAACCATTTGCCATGCTTGCAGGCGGTGGTATCCTTGTCGCGCATCTTGCAGCACTCGCCGGAGCTAGCATCATAGTTGCCCCAGTTGTAGCAGCGAACCATGACCAGGATCCTCGGGATCTGTGCTCGGTGCAGGCGCATCTGCCAGGTGATCATGGTGCCTGGACTTCCTTGCTTTCTCCGATTTCTGAATTTAGAGAGGCGTCGGCCGAAAAGGTGGGATTCAAAATGTTTACTGGGGCTGTGAAGATCTGACACGGCAGCCAAAGGACCCCCTGACCGTCGAGCACATTGGCAAAGATCTAAGAAGCAGAGAGGAATGGCTGATCCCATTGCCCATTACTGTAATGACTAATTAAATAAGGAAGTTAAAATCATTGTGGCAATGTCAAAGCCAATGTGATTTAATCAGGAAGATATATCTTTGATAAGATTAGTTAGCTCGGGATCTATAATGGGTGCCTTTAGACTTATATTCTACATCATTTTACAATTTATTAGGTATCAATTTAACCATTTCTTTCTTTAAAGAGCGAGATAGCATATTCGAAACTCTCCGAAAACGAAAAGAAGTTTTATCAAAATGATCCATAAATATATACGTTTTTCTTTGTGTAAGTGGTCTCCAATTAATATAATAATTTTTAAGAACTGAATGATCTAGAACCCAAGAACTATACAAGTCTTGATCCCAATTAAAAACTAAATGATCTCTGTTCTATTGTTTATTCGAAACAGATGTATGGTAATCGGCAAGTTCTTAGGCATCTAGGATTTCTTCATGCGGTAGTAGTTCCACACCACGCACATGGGCGGCTGGTTGATGCAGAAGCACTGGGTGGGCGGGACGTCGGGCAGTGGGTGCGACTTGCACTCCGAGAAGCTGGGGTACTTCGTCCTGCGGCGAACGCAGCCGGCATGGGGTCGTCCTGGCCGGCAGCCAACCGAGCTGGCCTGCTTGCAGAAGGGCAGCTTGAACCGGGGGCAGGAGCTTGCCACCGGCGGCGGGCGGCACAGCCCCAGCCCCAGGCTCTCGTTGCCATCGGGGCAGACCTTGGACTCCTGGAGCGGTGGCGTTCGGCGGGGCCGCCGCAGGAAGTTCGGCGGACGGCAGCGGCAGACGGCCTTCCTCTTCCGCTCCTCCAGCTCGCACTCGCACCAGGTGCGCTGATACTTCTTGCTCAGCTTGTCGGAAGGCTTGTAGAGGGTGAGATCCGTCGGCGGATAGGAACTCGCACAGGGACCACCGAGGCATCTCTTGCGGGAGTCGATGAAGGCCGGCACATTGAACTCGGGATCGGAGCGGCACTTGTACTCCGAGCGCCGCATCGCAATCCAGCAGATGTCCTTCAGCGGCACCTTCGTCTTGTCCACCGGTTTGTTCTTCTTCAGATCCTTTCTCTGGCCCGGCATTTGGGGCACCCCATCTTCGTACGGATCGTACAGCGTCTCCATGCCACGCACCTGGTTAGCCCTTAAGGCTATTCCGCTCCTCAATGCGGCCGGTGCTCGGAAAAGCGTATTCTTCGCCAGCATTATCTTATTGTAATGAAGCCGAAATCAAAGTATAGACTCAACTGAGTTGCAAAGGTTTTGAACACACTGAAATAATTTAGTCTTGGATTAAAAAATATAAAAAAAATGTGGGTCACTGCGAAATTTTCATCGTGAGCGTCGTTATGAAATGTGATACCGATCTTTTATCGGATTTCGAAGAAAAGTTCTCGGATTGCTTAGATTGCTTGGTTAGAAAATATGAGATCTCAACTTTGTAAGCTTAACTGATTAGGATTATCTTTATGAAATTGAATAAGTATTTCATAATGATATTTTCATTCTTTTCTATTATTTACTTTTTATGAAATATTGAGCTCTCATCATTTTAATTGTGTTCTAAATTTTAAAATGTTAAAGAATGATATTCCCAGGAGTAGAAGAAAAACACCGAAGTAATAGTTTTTTACATTAAACAAATTTTTTTATTCATTCCTATGGGAGCTATAGCCGATCCGTCTCGTTCCGACTTATATAGATTGCAATAGAAACAAGACTTTTAGGAAGGTTTCATCACGATAGCTTTAAAACTAAGAGACTGGCTTGCGTAGAAACGTTCAGACTGCAAGACGGTTATAGCGTTTTCCCACAGAGATCCATCCACCATCTACCATCCGTTGATGGTCCATAAGGTTTTGCCGTTCCGATCATTTCCCATCCAAATTTGACGGACTCCTTTATCCGATAGTTAGGCGATGTTTTTTCGGTGCAACTCTGAGTTCTTCTTCTTGACAGTGCAAATTGAAACATTCACTACGAAAACGTAAACAATGATGACAGGGAAAAATCGGAAATGGAAGACGCAGAAGCAACTGGTTTGGTTGGATTAGTCAGATCAGCTGTTTTCGGATGGTAAATGGTGGATGTGCCCTGTGGGTATCGAAGTTTCACATTTGTCAAAAATCAAAACCGTTTCGAACGGATGGACTTCATGGGAATTGGTTGTTAGACGGACAGACGAACAGACGGAAAAACGGACATGGCTAGATCGACTCGTCTAGTGATACTAATCAAAAATATATATACTTTATGGGGTCGGAAACATCTCCTTCCCTGCGTTGCAAACTTCTGACTGAAATCATTACAACCTCTGCAAGGCTATAAAAATGAAGCGAAATAAGTTTTTTGTGTGTGTATCAGCGTCACTAATATTTAGTTAATTAAGTTTATAAATATATGCAGTTCTTTTACCATGGTCCAATTTTTATGAAATCGATTAATGGCGGAATAAGAAACACAATCTTTTGGGTTGCCATTTTTATTCGTTTTTGTTTCGTATATTGTACAACAGAAAGTAACCATTAAGATTTGAAGCCAAAATTTAACAGTTAACAAATGAAGCAGGGAAAATTAAATCTACAATAATTTAAGAGTGTCCTCGTCATCAGCAAGCACTTGACTAGGCATTTTAGGCCAGTTGGTAACCATCGTAAGCCATTCGATCTGCGGCAGCTTCCATGTGACGCCTCTTGTTCTTGGTTTGGGTGGAGATGAACTGCGAGATGAACTGACTGGCGGGAATGGCGATCCTCTGGAGTCGCCCCTTGGGATCGAAGGATCGCCGTAGCACAGGGGCAGTAGATGGTTCCTGTTGGCATCGGGAGTCCTCTACTTCTTCCTGGGGATCTTCATAAACGGGTTCTTGCCAGGTGGCCTGATACTCGCGCTCTGTCCAGCGGCCTGGGTTGTATTTGGTGTCATCCAAGCGCTCCTCAACTTCGGGCTGCTCCACCTGCTGTTCCGCCCAAGTCCGCCTGAAGGTGCGATCTTTCATCGAACCCGGCTTGTAGTAAAGGTCGTCTAGACGCGACATTCCACGACACTTTACCAGGTTGCTAAATCCAAAGGCCAGCGTCCTTTTGCTCACCAAAACTTTTGACGAATTCATTTTTGATCAATCTTAAATTTAGATTTTTTTCAATACCAACTTCCAAAAAAAAGCGAAAATAAATATAAAGAAAATAATAGACCGGAACGAAACAGATTGTTTTATGTTAATACCAAAGCTGAGAATGAAAGTATTGGGAAAATCGAGTTGAAGGATGAAAATTCAAGACTCACTAGATCGGGTTAATTTTATCAATCACTAAATTTGGTTTGTTTTCATATTTGTTATATTTACACATTTGATGTTTTTTTTTATTTCTTTTCCCTTTTGTTTTTAACAAAATTACCAAAAAAACGAAACCTTTTCCCTAGCCAACCGCTGAACGATACTGAGAACAGTCTTTATTTATAACCTTATTCGAGGCGAAATTGATAGCCCCGGCTTGGTTAGCCAGCTAAACTTTTCTGTTTCATGCAGATTAACAAGAAATTACATTCCCCTAATATTAAACCATTGCATTCCTAACATAGACTTTCATGAACCTTTCAGAGTATTATGTTCTGACTATAATAGACTATCCTATTATCTCAAAATATGCCAGAATTTAATCATACTTTTTTGTTCCTCGAACTGTCTTTATATTTATACGCGTCTATCATCTCGCGAACTCGTGCCGTCCGACATATGGCAGCGTCCCTCGGTCGGTTGGGCGGGAGGTGTGGCCGTGGAATCCCGCATGAAAAAAAAGAAACAATCTTTTAATTTTCAACAAAGACCGCAAATTCTTAAGAACTCGCAAAATAGTGTCACCCACTCAGCACAAAACCCAATTGCCCAGCCCATCAAATAATAGTCAATGATTAAAACATGTTAAATTCTTGTTTTATTTCAACGTCGGTTAGTTGGATCAAGCTTCAAAATAGGTGCCCAGATAAGTGCTATTGGTTCGACATGGACAATACACCTAGGCTTCCAGAGCCACCAACGGTCTTGTGTGAGTGTATCGAGTCTTCAGTCTGTGGTGTGAAAGTGGGAAAGGTCCGTAATCATAAAAGACGTCCGCGAAACTCCGCTTGGCTATCAATAGGTCGGGGGTCAGCACTTGTCGAAGTCCCAGCAATCGCACTCCTTGGAGGGCTTCGGATCAGTTGGCTTTCGCCTGCACTCGGAGTAACTGGGAAAGGGGGTTGGGACCTTGGAGCAGTTCTTCTTCTTCGCGGAGCGCTTGCAGCTGGGTTCCGGCTTGCTCTTGCCCTTTGATTTGGAGTTGCACTTGGAGTCCGACCCGCCGCCCTTGGAGTTGGCACAACTGGCCAATCGGATGGCGAGGGGCATTAGGCTTGTGCCCAGGAATTTCCCGCAGCGTTTCGACAGCATTTTGAGTTTCGGATGTGTGGATCGAAAGAGTGTGAAGATAGAACGGCTTGGTTATTGTAGAAAACTGGAATTTGGATGTGATAACTGGGTTGGAGTAACGGCCCGAATGTGGCCAGGTGTCGTGTGACAGGACTGTCGACGCCGCCTACAGCTCGCCGCACTTGAGGACCGTCCCCTTGCCCCGGGCGATCCTCCTCCTCAGCTCCGCCCACATCTCGCAGGCCATGGGGACACGGAGGCAGAGGCACTCGATAGGCGCTCCCTTGGTCAGCTCATCGCGCTTGCACTCCGAGAAGCTGGGATACGGCGCCGGGCGCTTCGTGCAGTCGGTGGGTCGCCGCACGCGGTGGCAGCTGGGCGGGACGCGGCCGGGCTTGCAGCAGGGCAGGACCCAGCGGGGACAGGGCGAGTCGTCCTCCGGCTTCCTGCACTCCATGGGATTGAGCATGGGCATCGGGGGACGGGCGGTGGCCGCCGTAGCCTTGCGATGGCGGCGGCACGGCTTGGGACGCGGATGCTTCTGGTGGATGCACACCTTCTTGGGCTTGATCACCAGCCGGGGGCACTCGTTCCACGTCACCTGGTACTGGCGGGCCTCCTTGTCCGAGATGCGGTAGTGCCGGATGTCGTAGCGCACGTTCACGTCGCACTTGGGCTCGTACTCGCAGCCGGGAATGTACCACATGGACTTCAGCCGGGCCGGCGTCTTCACCTTGTTGCTCTTCTCCTTCTTGGCCTCCTTCTTCTTGGGCCTGCCGCCCTTGGCCGCATCGCAGATGGTGCCCTTGAAGTGGGCAGGACCGCAGGACTTGGAGCCCGCCGCCTTCTCCGTCTCGCACTTCTTGGGCGCCCCGCAGTCGTCGTCCTGCGACTGACTACTGTAGTTGCGGCGCACCAGGTGCTGGCGCAGCACACTGGAGCCACCAGAGCTCTGGATGGGACTCAGGCCCTTCGGCTTGGACCAGTCGCCCTTGAGCGCGGCACAGGCATTCACCAGGGACTCCAGGCACGGCAGACTGCGATCCACGAGCGAACGACACTTCTGACGCAACATTCGCAACATTTTGAACGTTTTAACCAAATTTTGTTTTACAATGCCGAAAAAAGCCGAGAAAATGTTTTGTTAGGCCAAGGACTGAATGTAGACTAACTGGCGAGCCATATCAAAGGCCTCGAGTGGGCGTGCAAAGCCAACTTCATGCCGACTTTTGGACGAATGTTCCAATCTAAAATAAGTTGCAAAGCTATATCTGCGCTACCTTCTTAAAAGATTTAATGCCTTGTTGTTTTGTATTGAAAAATATCCTACTTTAATTAGTATACAGAGAAAACAAGGAAGAACGCTATAGTCGAGTACCTCGACTATCAGATACCCGTTACTCAGCTAAATAGAGATATGCAAGTAGCAAAGCGAGATTAAAATGCGCCACCTACCGGCGGTATGTAAATTTAAGCGTTATGGGCGTTAGAGTAGGCTTGGCAAATTTTTTTTTGAACCAATCGATAGGTATTGACGAGACCAATACATTTCAGTTAAAATTTTTTGTCTAGCATAAAAATTGTGGGCGTCACAGGTTTTCGCGGTTTGTGGGCGTTAGAGTGGGCGTGGTATATTCGCGTAACAAACTTGCGCTGCGTATAAGGCTACGGAATCTAAATCTGAAGTCCCAAGTCTCTATCTTTGATAGTTTCCGAGATATCCACGTTCATATTTCCGATTTTTTGAAGTTTGTGGGCGGTTTATGGGCGTTAGGGTGGGCGTGGCAAACTTTTTTTTGGGTCAATCGATAGGTATTGATGAGAACATTACATTTCAGTTAAAATTTTTATTCTAGCATCAAAACTGTAGGAGCCACAGTTTTGGGCGGTTTGTGGGCGTTAGAGTGGGCGTGGCACTCTACTGAGACAAACTTGCGCTGCGTAAGAAGCTCAGGAATCTGCACGCCAAATCTCAATAGCCTATCTCCCTATAGTTTCCGAGATCTCAGCGTTCATCCGGACGGACAGACAGACGGACAGACGGACAGACGGACAGACGGACATGGCTAGATCGACTCGGCTAGTGATCCTGATCAAGAATATATATACTTTATGGGGTCGGAAACGCTTCCTTCTGCCTGTTACATACTTTGTGACGAATCTAGTATACCCACAACGGCGACATCTCAACGCCTTCCAGTCGGTGCCAATCCTGTAGATATACATCTTATATCTTAATTCTCAAAAGTAGGCCTTGAACTGAACTTCAGAGCTATATAGACATTCCCAATGGGTTTTCAGCTCAGTTCCTCTCGGCCTCTACCAAATTTCACATCGGCTCAGTTGGGCTGTATGTGTGTTCGGTTTTAAATTTTTAGTTAGGTAATTTCACAGAGCCGAGGGGTGTTTTTTGGTTTCGGAATTGCTGGTTTATTAACGCGCGGTTGTTGCTAAGCATCATTCTTATTCGCGGCGAACCCATTGTTTTTCCGAACAGTTCTTTAATCGGCCTCAAGTCAATCATGTCTCTGTGGCGCAGTGTATCTTCAAAGGGACAGACTCGATTAATACCCCGTTTCGCGGGAGTGGTTAGCCAGCGCTCATACGCCGAGGACCACAATCCATCGCCCAAGTGCAATCGCGATTCCGGTAAGGGATGTGGCAAGTTCACGGGCTGCGGCGATCCCCGCTTCGAGATAAAGCAGCCGCCACCGGTGGAGGACAGCTTCCAGTTCCACCACCTGGTGAAGATGCCTCCCGACTGCTGCGACGACCCCTGCCGAGAGCGATTCCCTCCCTACGACCAGTGCTACTACAAGATCTCCGACAAGGCCAAGCGCAAGTACCAGGTCACCTGGGTGGAGTGCCCGCCCATCCAGATAAAGCCCAAGAAGATCTGCTGCTTCGAGGCGGGCACCCGTCCGCCAATCCCGCGGCGCAAGCGCAAGGAGTTCGTGGCCGACGCCAAGTGCCCCACGGAGCAGGTGTGTCCTGTGGCCGAGGGCCTCTGCCCCAAGATCAGGATGCCCGGCTGCAAGGCCGTGGACAAGGTGTCCTGCCACGTTGTGCGGCGGATCACGGACTGCACCAAGGTCAAGGCACCGTATCCCTCCTTCTCTGAGTGCTCCCGCTCGGCACTTCGCAAGCCCCGCGGCATCGAGTGCAACTGCCTGGCGATTCCCAGTGCCTGCGACCTCATCCGCGAGGCCCAGAAGAACGAGGGAAATCCCCGAAAGGGCAACTGCGGCGGCAGCAGAGGTTAATTGCAGGGCTTCAGAGCGACTCCCATTCCCAGCACCCAGTGTATCCTGTTCCGTTATCTGAAATATTCCAAAAACCAATCCAGTTTATCTTTCCAGCCATGTGTGAAATTCCGACTAGAAATAAACCGTAACGCATACTTTAGGGTTTTATTTGTTTACGTTTTTCGGATAGGCCTCAAAAGATAGTTTATTGGATATTCTGTATAAATTGGGCTGGCGTGAATATAAATAGGCTTAGACTTACAATGTAATGAATATATATAAAGGTAACTACCACCAAGTTTACTGATTATAAGCTAAGCCGTTTGAATTATTTCTTTTTATATAAGCCATTTTTCCATATCTTGGTTTGCTTCCTACTTGGAAATAAAAGTTTGCCACTTTTTTCTGGTTTTTTAAAAAACCCGGCTCGCTGCTACTTAGCCATGTAAATTGAAAACGTTTGCCCAACTGTGGATGAGTATGCAAAGTGTCCCGAAGAGGGGGCGCGGAGTCGGCGGACAACTGCGTGCCATATTAAAGTCGCTTTATAGCAAATTACCAATTCAGATATATACGG